TATATATCAGAATTCCTTAATTTCTATTAGTTCACTTAATGAACAAGATATAAATATTATCCAGCGGGTACTCTAATATAATGTGCAGTTCCCAACATTTACAGTTATCAGAAAGGAATGATTGTCCCTGAGAGTTTTCAATTAAACGGAAGAAGCCTACCTAAATGTAAAACCAAAAAATTTGCCTGCATTTGAAATACAAAGGTTTTTAAAATATTTTCTAGAAATACAAAGGTTTTAAAAATATTTCTTAGATAAATATCCAGAATTTTATCCCTATAGTAGAAGATTTTATTATCACTCTTTAGTACCTGTTGACAAGATTTTATTTACTTATATCAGCAACAACTTAATATGTTATTGATCTAACAAAAATTGTAATTTTGGTACAGTTATTTCTATTTTATGCACACAAGATTAAATAGTGCAAATCCCTGACTTGAGAGGAAACATCATCAAAAATAATGAGACTTCCCATGCAAAGAACTCGATTGTAAGACACAATAATTCAAAGATTTTTAGATCCATGATCTTTTAATTCTCTATAATACTTGTAGATATTTACCCATAACCAGCCCCACCATGCTGATCAAGCTCACAGCCTTAACTGATGTTATTTATTTTGTAATTTCAATAAATTAATAAATGGGAAAACAGATATGCTTTACAGTTATGCTCTATCTTCTAGCTTATTTTTAATACCCAAGGATGTTTTTAAGCCCCAATGAATTCTCTCTTTATTCTTCAATGCCTTTCCTTGTGTGACAGGAAAAAGTGAGAGGACTTCTGCTTGTACAATTCATTGTTCCCACTTCTATGTCAAATCTACCCTTTAGGATTCCCCAACCCTCTGCTAAAGACTTGAATATGAGTGGAAGAAGGAGAAACCTTTCAATTGGTAGATGCCATTTCATAAACAAATGATTTTATTGGCTAGACTGATTGAAAGAAGATATATGAGTACAATTCAAACACATTAGTATGCTCAGTGGACATGAAACATTGTTGGAAGCACATTAGAAAACTGAGGGGGGAGAGTACTGGGAAATAAATGGGAAAATATCTGAGTCCTGAACAGTAAGCCAAACACTAAATATCTGATATACAATTTGTAATTGGATCGTACCAGAATCTCAATGACTTAACGGTAAATAATAAACACATCTTATTAGCAGTTCTACTTCTGAAATCAAATGTAGGATGACTTTAGGTCACACTGCAATGATTAATATGAATAAGATCTAGAAAAGCAGGGATATTGATTTAAATACAAAGAACAGGTTACTTAGAGTAATAGTCTTCCCTAAGCTGATACATGGGTGTGAGAGTTGGACACTAAGAATGGCTGATCGAAGAATTGACACCTTTGAACTGTGGTGCTGGTGTAAATTACTACATATACCATGAACAGCCAGAGTAACTAACAGAGAGGTATTAAATCACCCGTCACTGGAAGCCAAAAATCATAAGATTACTATGTCTGATTTACTTTGGCCATGTTATGCATGAGTTCATTGGAGAAGGCAGCACTGCTAGGAATGGTTAGTGGAACAAGAAGAAGGGGCAAACAAAGAATATGCTGGCTTGATAACATCAAATCTGATGCAAAACTGAACATAAAACAATAGAAAGAAGCTGTGCTTGATAGGGTAGCATGAAGAGCACTTGCCTATAAAATCCCTAAGAGTCAGACATAACTAAACAGTTAAAAACATCGAACGACAATAAATACATAACAGGAGCACTTGAATTTTATCTTCTGAATTTTTTTAAGTGTAGCAACCCTAAGATTATAATGTATTCTGAATTTTATTAGCATATTTTAACAGTGAAATCCAGACTACCTTAGAAGTTAGCACCTATGAACTCTGTGAGAAGTACTTCTCAAAAAAGATGAGAGTTACCAAAGCTTTTGGGAAACAGCAAACAGAGGTGGTAGCCAGTTTTTCTGAAAACTGCATCTATCTGTCCCGTTTTTTCACCGCTGTCTTTTTTTTTTAACTTCAAACCTTGGGCTTTGTTCAGTGTTCCTGGTCATTCTCTTGGCCAGCTAAGAGTAGACACTCATCCAGATACAGTTTATTTTTCTATATCATATACAGACTAGACATAATCTTTCTTCTCTCAGCATGTATTCCTTTCTTACACTTAAGTCCATTCTCTGATTAATATTAGCCACATCAATATTTCAGCCTGTATCATCAAACAATAGCTGAAGCTTCCCTAGAAACTCCAGAGGGAGAATCCTGGATAAGCATTCATTCACCAAAAAGCACTCTTTGACTCAGAAAAACCTAGATGTGTAAAAAATGAAAAGATGAAGGCTGTAATACAAAGAATATTACCTAAGAACAAATTTATTTACTTTTTACATTACATAGACAGTGCTCTGAAAGTTACTTTTTTTCCAGCTAAAGTAATATTTTAGGTTCCCACTTTATCTCTGGGCAATAGTAACTTGCAGAGCTAATGAGGCCTTTTCAATCTCTTCCCAGTCACTGCAGCCAATAAATAAATATAATAAAACTACTGTAACATTAACCAATCCCTAAGGACATAGAATGAAGAGGGTAGAAGTAAAATTGATTTGTTAACTTTCCTCTGCGCAAATGGGCTTTCAAGAAAAGATGCTACTCTGCATTACAGAATGTATAATTGGCAAGCCATAGTACATTTAGGCATAGGAAGCTAAATATAAAGAAGAGGCAATGGAGATGATGATGGGAAAAGGTATTTGTACAATCCTATGCACATTTCATTTCATGAAAATAAGCCCCGCAATGTCTAGCAGGGTTTTATCTGACTGGCAGATTAAAAGAAATAAAACACATTCTCAACCATAAAAATCAAACAACCCCCAATTTCTGTCTCTTTGTTCCCTAGAATAAGAACAGAATAAATATACCTTAAAGCGGGCGAGCTACTCCTTTACACTTTGAAAATGAAAATGAAAGGACGGCTTTCCCCCGTTTTAAATAAAATAAAATAAAAACCCACGGGTCATACTTAGGCAAATCATCGCCACAAGTGCGCAAGAATTCCCATTTTAATACAGAATAATAAAACGACCTTTCCTAAGCCGAAGAGTGGCAGACAATAATTGTAAGGATAATTTCCTCCTTTTCAAATACACCTCGGTCACCCGACAAGAAGCATATGCGAGTCTCTGTCGGCTACGCCTCCTCCCTGCGTTTACGACAAAACCCATCGCTCTGCACCTGGCTCCGCGGAAGGGGAAAGAAGCCCTCGGAGAAGTCCCTGGGCTCCAAAACAAGGACGCCGCTGCCCGCCGTTCCCTTTTCTCCCTCTGTCTCTCTCAGCCCTTTCTCCCCTCGCAGACTAACCCCATCACCGGAGGAAGGGAAAAGGCCCGCAGGGCCAGAAGGGAGAGCGAAAAGGGTTACCTTGGCGCCCAAAGCCGGAAGAGCCGCGCCGCAAACCACCGCCCCCCCGCGGAGCACTGACAGTTCCCAGAATGCCAAGCGGCTTGCTTGCTTCCTCTCCCTCTCTCGCCCTTCCTCTGGCCTCGCCTGACGTTATGACGCCACCTGCCGCCGCTCGGAATTAGCGCAGTTTCTTCGACTGCACCGGGCGGCGATTCCAGGTAGTTAGTCCCTTAAAGGGAAAGTCTACTTCGAGAAGTGAGGGGGGGGGGCGGCTTCGAATCGTCTTGGTGGCAGCGGGGCAGAAGCGGACTTGTACCTTTTCGGAGATTCTCTCTATCTCTCCCCTCCCTGCGTATCCTAAAGCTGAGCTGGTTTCCCGCCTGGCTTATTGTTTTCATGAAAGCAGGAGGAAATGCTTGGGCTAGCCCAGTTCTTTAAGATAAGATGAGATGAGATGAGATTATTATTATTATTATTATTATTATTATTATTATTATTATTATTATTATTATTATTATTATTATTATTATTATTATTATTATTATTATTATTATTATTAATTTAATTTCTATACCGCCCTTCTCCCGCAGGACTCAGGGCGGTGCACAGCATATTAAAACAGATACCTTTATTGTCATTTTTATACTGTGGGCACAATGGCACACATCAAAAATGAAATTTAGTTGCCCGCTCTCAAAGTGAAACATATACATGACACACACCTAAACATACTATGAACAACATATGTGTAGACCCACATCCCTAGCAAATGGAGGAGTAGTTTGTCCCCACTGCACGACTGTGTGTGCTCACGTTACGGGCCGATTTAGGATTGTGTCGGATGATCTGCAGAGTACTGGATTCTCCAGCTAAGTCGACATGCCTCTTCGCTGGAAGCTGACAGGCAAATCATGAAACCGGTCATTTATTGTGGTTCATTCAATTTCTCGCAATCGAAAAGCCCTGCCGCCCTTTTCTGAATGTGGATGGGGTGTATATCAGTAGCACTAAACAGGCACATTAAAAAAAATAAGCATTGTTTGAATGGAATCCAACCTGTAAAGCATCTAGCTAACCAAACCGTGGGAAACTACAGTTTACAATAGGCTGCACGTTTATTGCAATGCAATTGGATGCAAGGCACTAATTAATTCAGCACAGGATTGCAAACTACTATAATTGTAGCGAGACTGACTTCTGAGTAAATGTAGATAGAATCGGAATACAAGATCTTCTGGAGAGATAAAAAAAATCCATCTCCCCGCTTATTCTACTATGGAGTGATGCGCCAGAAAGCAAACAAAGACATCCACCAGTCATTTCAAGCGGACTAAACTACAGCGCGATTCCGGCCGGAGATAAAAACGTTAACATGCAACCCTCTTTCGTCATCTAAGTAGTCGCGATCTCCTTTAAGATGATGTCACGTTGTGACCGAGGACTTCTTTGCAACGATATTAAAAAGACAAAAGAGCTTAGGAGCTTTTTGGACCGAGCCCGCGATTTCTCCCCCAGGGGGCGCTGTGTGAGACAGAGGCCCTCCTCTCTGCTAAAACGTTTCCGGGATTCAATTTTCTGGGTTTTCTCCGGCCCACGTGGGAGCCTACTTTGCACACTTTTGAACCTCGCAGCGGGTTGCTTTCTCTCGGCTTGGCTCTCTTTTGGAGTCGGTGGATGGATGCTGCTCTGTTCTTGGAGATTAGGGAGAAGATGAAGAGCGGATTGCTGATTATTCGGTACTTTACTTGTTTGCTTTATGTTTGATTCCCCCTCCCCCGCCCCACCCTGTTTCATTTCCCACTTTGAGACAGGCATTGCCGGGTTATGTTACGTTCCGGGTTATGTTACGCTTGTTCTCTTACGAGCCGGTCTCTAGCTTCCCACTTTCCATTCAGGACAGTGGTGATTACTTTTTGCAAAAACTTCTACAAATATCACTTTCCTTATCATCATACCTTAGTAAATGTCTGTGTTACCAGACAATGAAGGCATTCTAGACGAGGACATGCAGTATACATTGGAAGTCGAATCATGCCAGGAAAGAAAATGTTTTCCAAATATCTTCACGATGCAGGCAACTTATTTCTTTAAAGTTTAATTTACGAAATAATAGTCTTGGATTCAAGCTTATTTGAAAAAAAAAGTATATCTTTTGACTCGAAAGATTTTCCTAAACTACAGATGTGGTTCCTTTAAATAGTTTGAGAAGCCCAGAACTGAGTTGACTGTTCATTCAAGCATCCTATCATTACTTCCTTTAAGGCAGTGGTTCTCAACCTTTTTAATGCCGCGACCCCAACCGGTCGTAAGTCGAGGACTAAACCGGTCGTAAGTCGAGGACTAAACCGGTCGTAAGTCGAGGACTAAACCGGTCGTAAGTCGAGGACTACCCAACCGGTCGTAAGTCGAGGACTTTCCCTGCCCGGGAGCGCCGCGCATGCGTGGTTCCGCCTCCTGCGCCGGCTGAGGCGTAGCTGGCAAGCAGCAGAGACGGAGCAGGCCGACCACCAGCTGGCCCAGCCCAAGGGAGGTAAGGCACCCGCCGGAAAAGAGGGAAAAAATGGCGGACAAAAAAAAATGGCGGACAGCCTTGCTTGGCGACCCCCGTGAAATGGTTGATCTACCCCAAATGGGGTCGCGACCCATAGGTTGAGAACCACTGCTTTAAGGTATATCTTCTGTTAGTTTACCATCCCCCCTCCTCTTTTAAAATGCCTTTGTGTAGATAAGCACAAACAGCTTATGCATACATCCACTGTGCTTCTTTCAGATTAAATAAAGCAGCTGAGTTCTCACAACAAACTGCAGAAAGTATTGCCCTCTATTAAACCATATTAATCACTTAGGCTTGTGTGGTGCTCTTTTTCGTTTATTATTTTTATCCCACCTTTATTATTTTTATAATAAACTCAAGGCAGCAAACATACATAATATTCTTTGCCCTCCTGTTTTCCCCACAACAATAGCCCTGTGAAGTGGATTGGGTTGAGAGAGAGAGAGTAATTGGCCCAAGGTCACTCAGCTAATTTTTATGCTAAGGCAGGATTAGAACTCTCAGCCTTCTGGTTTCTAGCCTGGCACTTTAACCACTAGACCAGGGGTGTCAAACTTGCAACGTCACGTGACGTATTGTGACGTATCACGACTTTTTTTTCCATTGCCAGCAATGGGGTGGACGCGGTTTTGCCATGACGCATCTGGCCCGCAGGCCGGCAGTTTGACACCCCTGCACTAGACTGAACTGGCTCTCTTATGCTTACCTAGCAGTACTGTAACTGAATTGAACTTCTTGAACTATTTGAATGGAAGTCACTGCATGTTAGCAAAATCAAGAATGGATTTTGAACCTTGTGACCTGCATTACCTCAAGACAACTCAGTGTGAAAGATACACACCACTTGAAAGGAAAGGTTTTATGATGCCTGGATAAATAGTGACCCCAAGCGACGGATCCTCTCAGCTGGATTCTTGAGGGAGCAGATGTAAAAAAGGGGGGTTGATGTTCCCAGGGGTTCTTCAAACATCAGTTAGAAGAGAGGAATTGAGAGGTTGTGGTGGAAGGATGTGTCAGTGAAGTTATGTGTCTTTATCCTTATGTCTTTTCTAGCTTTCAAAAGCACTGATTTAAATAATCATAGCATACGCCTTTCTGCTATGGGAGAGAATGGCTGAGAATACCTTAGAATGAAAGAAAAACAAATCATTCAAAACTAGAGGAAGTAAAACCAGACTGTTCACTGGAAACGTGGCAGGTAGTCTGCATTTAGCAACTGCCTCATTTAGCCACTATTTGCAATTACGATGGTGATGAAACAGTAATCTCTGAAAATTGAGTTCTTATCCTCAGCAAATTTAATGATAAGAAATACTTTCAAAGCTGAGGCTGATTATCTTCCAAAAGACTCTCTGATCTGATCAGTTAAGATCTGTATCCAAACCTGAAGTTTGTTATTTTGTTCAGTATAGAGAAACTTAGTTGGTTCTTTAAAACTGAATCATAAATATTTTTCTCTTGTTTCTAAACGTTGCACCACTTACTGTTCTTAACCATATGCCTCCCAGATTCTGCAATATGTTACCAAAATAGAAGAAATCCATTTCAGGAAAAATATTTTACTGGGAAGCAACTGTTAGGAGAGATCTTATATAATTCCCTACAGGAACATAGTCCTCTAGGAAGTTATATTATACTAAATTACCTGTGGGTTCCCAATAGAGTCAACCCTATGTTTTATATAGTATAAGGCACTGGTGTCAAACTCACCACGTCACGTGACATGTCGTGACATATCGTGACCTTTTTTGCATTGGCGGAGCTGGGGTGGGCGCAGGCTCCGTATGATGCAACCGGCCCATTGGCCGGTAGTTTGACACCCCTGTTATAAGGGAAGAGTAATGGCCTGGATAGTTATAGACTCCTCTGAAGTCATGCTGGTGGAATAGCAGAATTTCCCCCCCCAGGTTTGTTTTGCTGGAATAACTCTTTGTAAACCTTCTTTTAGATCTCATACCAAGAAACAAAATAAGTAATCCATTTTCCTAAAATAGAAGAAAAAGATCTCAGTTCTACATACTGTAATTATGTCACCTTCTTCCAATGCTATAGCTTTTAGTGGTTTGTTTTGTTTTGACATATGTCATCTGAAATTTGCATATCATATTGGTTGGGACTACCTCTTATTTCACATCTGTATTGGGCCCACCCGCCCCCTTCCCTAATCTAATAGACTGCTGTGGGAGATACAAAACTTCCTTGCCAGAAGCCTCAATTATTTGCTTGAAGGGGGCTTTTAAAATTAGATAGGAATGCATAAATTATATGTTTTCCTATGAACAAGCCTTTCTTCTGAGCAGACACAGATGCTTTTAAAATTCTCTCACATGATTATCTAAGGAATCCCACATTCTGCCAATAAGGGTAGGAGACTAAGATTTCAAAGGGTTTTCAATAAAAAGAGACACAGGTAAACAGTGTTTCCCAGTAGAAACGTTTTCTTTCTAGGTTGCCTTGCTGTATCTTTTTATAAGTGGATCTTTTTTCTATTTTCAAGATGATTGCCAAAATCTTTCTTCAAAAATGACATCTGGTGAGGTGAATTCTAGTTGTGCTACAATATATTCAACTGGCTATTCTAGAGTTTGTTCTGGCAGCCTAGAGGTGCCCTGCAGTCCAATCAAGATAGTGGTGGATCTTAATTGAAATTAGTATTTAGAATAGAATAGAGCTGGAAGGGACCTTGGAGATCTTCTAGTCCAGCCCCCTGCTCAAGCAGGAGAACCTACACCATCTCAGACAGATGAATGTCTAGTCACTTCTTAAAAATCTCCAGTGATGGAGCGCCCACAATTTCTGTGGTAAGCTGTTCCACTGGTTGATTATCCTCACTATCAGGAAGTTTCTCCTTAATTCCAGGTTGCTTCTCTCTTTGATCAATTTCCAACCATTGTTTCTCATCCTTCCATTTGGTCCTTTGGTGAACAACCTGGCCCCCTCTGCCTTGTGGCAGCCCCTCAGATACTGGAACACTGCTATCATGTCTCCCCTATTTCTTCTTTTCTTTAGATTAGCCAAACCCAAGTCTCATAGCCGTTCTTCGTATGTTTTAGTCTCCAGGCCTTTGATCATCTTAGTTGCTCTTCTATGATTTTTTTCCAAACTCTCAACATCTTTTTTGTGATATGGTGACCAAAATTGGCTGCAGTATTCCAGGTCTGGTCTTACTAGGGTTTTATAAAGCAGTAATAATACTTTGCATGATCTTGATTCTATGCCTCTGTTTATACAACCCAGGATTGTATTAGCTTTTTTGGTTGCTGCTGCACACTGCTGGCTCATAGTCAAGTGATCGTCCATGTTGGAGTATGTTGGATTAAAAGTAGCTAATAGTACACTGCTTAACTGGGTTGATCCATTCACTGGCTGATACTATGCTGATGGCTATTACAATGTCCTCAGAGACTCTGGGACACTTTTCTTGTTATTTGCTGTCCCTCCTGTTCCTCCCATTTCCATAATACCTACCTTCCCATAGAAGGTATTAAAAATAATCTGGGAGGTTGTCCAGCACTAGAGTACCAACATCTGGTCCATTATTTTCATGAACCTATGTGCCAAGCCATCGTGTCTGTACAATTGTCTATACATTGAATGGAAAAAATGCCCAGCTTGGGTGATAATGTGATTTTGGAATTGAAGGTTTTGGGGGCACACTTGCAAGGGAAATTCACCATGAATGTTTTTACCCTTGCATCTCAAGCATTGTATGCAAGCGCATCCCACTTCATATATTTTTGCTGTGTAAATATGTGATACATGTTTTTCTTAATACTTTGGGGGTCAATTTTGCTTTTTGAAATGCATGTGTATATTAATGTAAGGATTTATCTGTGTGTAATGTGTTTCTCCAAACATCACCTGCTGTGAACTGAAAATTTGGTTTTGATCTTGAATTTTTTATTTGAGGGTGATATATATGAAAAGAGAGGCAAGATACTGAATTATATCAAATGACCACTGCTGACACCATGTCATTCCTGTCACAGACACCTAATTACCATAAGTAATGTTTCCAGAAGACTAGATCAGTTAGATGAGAGAGTGTTCTCTCCTTTATTGAATTCTACACTGACTATTTTATTTTGTGCTGAAATCAGTTTCTGTGACTTCTTTTTACAAGGACTGCTGCCTTGAAATCTCATACAGCATGACACAGGGAATTAAAATGTTCCTCTGTTAGATTTAGGATGTTGCTATTTCCAAAGCAACAGCATCTGAATGATCTTGCAGCTTTCAGCAGAACGGCAAAATCAGTGCTACGCTACAGCTCTGGGGCACGCGTGGAACACCCCATAGACAACAGTAGGTGTTTTCAAGATGACACTCTTCTGCTTCCCCCCCCCCCATCCCCAAATTCACAATTACATGCATTTTTTTTCCTTCAAAAGCCAACTGGACTGTTTTTTTCTTTGAGGAAGAAAAAGAAAATATTTTGCTTCTCATCCAAGAAGCTTCATCAGTTCTGATAGTCAGTTCTAACAATTCTAACATAATCTTACAGACAGAGGTCCCCAACCTTTTGGGCACCAGGAACTGGTTACGTGGAGAGAGGTTTTTCCATGGACCGGAGGGTGTGTGGTTTTGTGTGCTGCCTGCATCCCATGGATGGGGCTTTGCTTGTTTGTGCGGCCCGGTTGCTGGCATGCTGCGGCCTGGTACCCCCATGGACCGGGGGTTGAGGACCCCTGCTATAGACTAGAGAGTACCACTGGTTTCAAAGAAGGGTAAAAGAATCCATCTATAATAATAATAATAATAAAGTTGGAAGGGACCTTGGAGGTCATCTAGTCCAACCCCCTCCTCTATGTTAGAATTGAGCAGCCCTCTCTCAACAGGGGGAGGAATAAGATACCATCTATCTCCTGTCTACAGTGCAGCTCTTTCAGCAGTTTCAAGAAGATTCCACAAACAATTGCACTTTGATTCAGATGACCCTGAGGACACAGGTAAACCCTCAAGTGGCTTCAAAAGGTCTCAGAGAAAGTGCTAACGACCAGATGACTGCAAAGAAGTACAATCCTTCCACACACTCCACCCCTACCATCCTGTCAGAACCCATCCTTCCATCCCCTCACCATCCAGTCTCAGTTGTCAGTACCTATCCTTCCATTTCCACCACCCCCACCATCACAACTGATGAAGTTTCTTGGATGAGAAACAAAACGTTTGGTTGTTTTCAAGGAAAAAACCATCCAGTTGCTTTTTGAAGACAAAAAAGCACCTTTGAAACAACTGTGACCTGGATGACTGAGAATCTCCACAAACAATCATGGGCAGTTCCTCATCTTGGCAGTTCCCCATCCTAGTGCAACCTGGGATGACATCTTCCACAAATCTTTTGTACATCTCTCAGGCCTAATCAAGGATACAGGAGACTTCTTTATCAGCTTGCTTTCCATTCCTGCAAAATGCTGGATTTAATTATTCTGTATGTTTATTTGTGTGCACTGGATCCATTTTATGAAGTGAGGTACAGAAATGCCTTAAATAATTTCAAATATCTCCTTTTGAGACTTTCCCAGCCATGTGGATTTTTATTTCAACTATTTGCTAATGGGATATCATTGTTCTTGCTTAAATCCCTGTAGTGAATTAAATCCAGAAAGCTGGCCTATGGATATTACTCTGATGCCTTCTTTAATAGAGCTAAAAAGTGATAAAGCTTGCAGAGCTTTCGGGCTTCCGCCAGAGGTCAGGATTGTGCCTTCTTCCTGTCGAGGACTGCAATATCTGCCTGGGGAAGGCTTACATATGAGGCTGCTTGTTCAAGCAGATTTCAGTACAAGTAAGAGTGAATTTTCATTTTTTTCATTTTATTTCTTTTCTGCTGATGATCTCTGCTTGAAAGTTCACTTGTAAAATAAACTTATCAAAATTAGATGGGTTAAAAATATTCAAGGAAAGCTGCATTTACCTATAAAACATTGGACTAGGAAAAAAAACCCTAATGTTTAGTGGTGACATTATAGATAAGAAATCAGGGGTAGTCAACCTTGGCTCTTTTATGACTCGTGGACTTCAATTCCCAGAATTCCTGAGCTGGCTCAGGAATTCTGGGAGTTGAAGTCCACGAGTCATAAAAGAGCCAAGGTTGACTACCCCTGGATAAGATGATCACAGTTTAGGCTACTTCTTTTTTCTCATTTATTTCCAAAGTTTCATTGATCTGACTTGGATTTTATTGGCTTTATCCCTTGTTCTGTACCTCATGAAAATAAATATGAATTGTCATGCTTCATAGGAAAACATATCAACGTATTTTAATATGCAAAATATTAAGACTATTGAAACAGTTTTCCTGGCTGAGATGTTGAGATTTAAGAAATTGTTCTGTTCGCTTGTATCAGAAAGTGATATTTTTTTATTCTGCTGCTAATGCTACATGTTCTGCACTTTATTTTTCTCTTTAGGAATCTTAGCTCCACCTACGCTTACTGAGAGCTAAACCTTTTGATTCTGTGCAGGTTATTTATCAGTAGATGTATATAATCACCCCATAATTCACAGGAAATATTGCCTGTAAAGAGGAGACTTTCCAGTATCGTGTTATTCATAGATTGGATGTTGCATTGCTTGACTGGATTTGTGCTTATTTTAGCAGATCTTTGAGATAGCAGTTTATTTCTTTAAAGACTTTAAAGCACCTTTCGGGAGCAACAAATTATTTAATCATATATTCACAGAATATATTTTTATAAAGTTAATATTAATGAAGCCTTTAATTTTTAAATTAATAATGTTCATAAATTTTTATAATGATTTTACTCTTCAAAAACATCCAATTCCAACTTTATATAAGGCAGGGGTAGGCAACCTTGGCTCTTTTATGACTCGTGGACTTCAACTCCCAGAATTCCTGAGCCAGCCATGTTGGCTCAGGAATTCTGGGAGTTGAAGTCCACGAGTCATAAAAGAGCCAAGGTTGCCTACCCCTGATTTAAGGCATATTTACAAAGACCAGCCACATGTAATGAAGATACTGTAATCTGAAGTAGGAGTTGAAGTCATGAAGTGAAGCCGGTGAGGAACAACCAGTTCCCAGGTTGGGCAGAATCATAATGTCAACATTAAGGCTCCCAATCTCAAGGTTGTGAAGAAAATGGCCTAATCTCCATTGATTTCAAAAGGCCTTATATTGAAACCTACATATGTGCTTGTTTTTTATGTACTGCAGGAGACAGATACCTTCTTTTTTGGCCTCCACTAGAACAATTAATGTACTTGTGTCATGTCCATGAACTTCTGTAATAAAAAACTCCTGAGAGTTGTGAAAGTCAAGATTCATTGCCACATTGGGCATGAAACCTGATATTTGCCCCTTTGATCCTTGAGAATTAGAAAGATCCCTGACTAGCAGTCATCAGGTCACTGAAGGCTTATCTTTTGAAGCAACCTTTCCCAACATGTGGACTTCATCTGCAGAATTCTCCAGTTAGCACAATTTTAAGATGAGAAGGCCAGTCATCACGAAGGCTGGGAAAATTGCCCCAGAAAGTCTTTGGTTCGAATCTTATTTCAACTATCATCTTGCTATGTGATCTTCAAGCTGTTGAGTTAAAACTCATTGTGTGGAATATGGTGTGATAATACAAGACTCCCTTTCAGGAATGTTTCCTCATTACTGAGATGATATGACGAATAAAATATATGGTATAAAAAATATTGTTGTTCTGAATCCAGTGCTACACTAAATTCTTGGCATGAATGTGAATAGGTAGTTTTACTGTTGTTAGTTAAGTTCTTCAATATCTTTCAGAATTGACACCAGCTGTTGGAAATGGCCTAAAATCCAAAAAGAGTTGTACTTTTTTCTGCCAATGTTGCGGGGAGAGTGTAATTAATAATAGGTAAGTACTGTACTCTGTGAGATTTTCCTATTGATGAATGTATTTGCAAATCAGCCATACTAGAAGAAATGTACCGTAGCAGCTGGTGATCTTTGAACTCAGATAATCTGGAAGTGAAGTCTGGGTGAGAAAGATAAGGAATTTGGTGTCCTTTTGAAAGGTTCAAAATCTCCGTTGCCTGCGTACAATAGTTCTTGTACACTATGAATGGCGTTTTTGTTTCCCCTGCTCTTTTTACTTTTATTAACACCATCAATATTTTTAGATGCCTTGCAACGCTCTGTCTTGAGACCTTTTCAGCTGAAAAGCAGGAGATGAAGATTTCCAGCAACATGAAAAACACGGCTCATTTTTAAGCTGGATTTTGTTTAAAACCAGTGGCTGGGAAAAATGGTAGCCACGTTAAAATGCGAATGTTGTTCATAATTAATTGAAAAAATATTTTATTGGGGTGTACCAAACATGGTAAGATATTCAGTTAGCAGGCTTGTGTGGTTCACTGTATGTTTCTGTAGGAGATTTGGCTTTTCATCCCAAAGAGGGACTTTTTTTTCTCTCCTTTTAGTCTTTTTTTCCATGGGGCAAGCCAAGAAGATTCCCCCCCCCCAACTGAATCTGCAGAGTCTTTGCTACATTATACTAGTGAATCAGAGACTGCCTGTTTTTCTACTGTATAGGTTACAAAACCATGACTGTTGAGAACTGGAGAGGTTGTGTCACCTGACTATTGAGCCATGTTTATTCTTTTCACAGATTGTTTTTCTGCATGAGATATAGGCATAATACTTTTCATGGTACTGCCCTCGCCATTCACAAGATTGGAACTGGGTGGCATGCCCTTTAAATTAATTTTCCTCAGCTCACTCTTTTGGCCTCGACCCTTCCTTAATCCCAAATATCATTGCACATTTGCTTTATAGGAACACTGAAAAATAAATGGCAAGGGCTGTCTATTTAAACTACATTTTTTTGCATTACATATGGTGTATCAAGTTTTGAGCCAGTGTTGGGGGGGGGGGACCCTAGCATTGTTTGCTATCAAAATGTATTGCTTTAACACAACCCTAAATGATATGCTATTCTTTGTTTTTCTGTTGTAGAAACCGATTTGTTTGCTTGGGCAAAATAAAAATATGTAGAACTGAGTATCAATTAAGCAAAAGTCACTGGAATTAGTTGAGCTACCTTAATTGTGAAAGAGAGATGTATGTTATCTTGGTTGGGTTTACATATGGCATGACGGAGAAGATGCCAGTTGGCTATAAAGGGAGCAGTTTGCCCCAGATGTTCTTGTGTATGGACTTCTGCCAAACAACTATCAATGAAATGCATTCTTGTCAACTAAGTGTGAAATCTGAGATGGTACTGCAAGTAATTCTGTGTCCAAGCTACCCTGTTTGGCTGTCTGAAATTAAATCTTAAACCATCATAAGACTCACAGACAGCGATTCAAATGTACAGCTGTTTAAGTATGTTGATTGCAAGAACCGGGAAAGCTGCTAACGCAAAATTCCAGCAAGCACTAAAGTGTAAGAGATAGAAGACATATTTATAGTAGAAACAATAAACCCCTTTCACTCACCTATGTGGATCAAAGGCAGATAAATCAGTTGCTATCTGTGCATTTTCACGGTGATAATCTGGTTTCAGACTATTTGTCCCATTTCCCCCCTCTCCCCCGCTTTAACAGAAGTAGCCCTGGCATGTTGTCCATATTTCTTCTGTAAGACTAAATCATCAGTGTGGCTCCCTTTAATAATTCTCTTTAGGGTACAATTGAAGCTTTTATATGGATGTAGACATCCTTTCATTGCTTTGCTTCTGAACTGATCAGCTCTGCTTTTTAGAGTTCATCCATGAGGCAAAGACGTATGGGAAGAGGGAAACAACATTTATCATCTATCATAGCATTGTTGGAAGTGATACAAGAGGATGTCTATGGAGATTCTCAGTCATCCAAGTCATGGTTTAACCAAAGGTGCTTTTTCAAAAGGCAACTGGACTTTCTTTGCTTTTCCTTGAAGACGTTTTCACTTCTCATTCAAGAAGCTTCTTCAGTTCTGACTGAATGGTGGGGAATGGAAGGATTTATATTCCTTGCAGTCATCTGGTTGTTAGCACTCTTTCTGAGAGTCACTGAGGCCACTTGGAGGTTTACCTGCCCTCAGGGTCACCTGAGTAGTGCAGATGGGTGTGGAACCTTCTTGGAACTGCTGAAAGGACTGTATTGCAAACAGGAGATAGCTGGTGTCGTATCCCTCACAATCTTTTTGAGAGAGGGCTGTTCAATCTTAACGTAGATGAGAAGTGAAACGTCTTCAAAAAAAAACAAAGAAAGTCCAATTGCCTTTTGAAAATCCCACTTTTGGGATACAAGAGGATGGGCATGGCCCTACTCTGCCTATTTTTTGAGTCAGAGTGATTTAAGTCTGTATAATATTAGCTGATAGTTAAAAACTGGCACTGGTGGAGTATGTAATATGATGGTGTATGTAATATTGCTTAATGTCTGAATAATAGAGGAAAATGGATTGATTCAGCGGGATTATTAGTGAAGACCAGTTTCCCCCTTGCCTCAACTAGCCACAGTCACACTGTATTCATTCAATACAGTGAATGAATGCATATATACCTATCTGCATGAATATTTTAGTTGGCATCTTCAAAAGAAAAAAAAAAGCAAGGCTACCTAGTACTTGCTACTTTAAGAATCTGTTTTAAATTTCTGCAAATCAGGAGACTTTGAACTCTGTCTGCTCCCCTGATCCAGCCCATCTAAGGGCAGATTGTTTTTTGTGAAGTACATTCAGTCGGAAGCTGCTTTCTGTTCTGTCACTGAATCACACCATTCAATTCCATTAATAGCCCTTGGCTCTTTTATGAGTCGTGGACTTCAACTCCCAGAATTCCTGAGCCAGCATGGCTCAGCTTGGATACCTCTCCCTTTCCCCTCAGCATGGCTGGCTCAGGAATTCTGGGAGTTGAAGTCCACGAGTCATAAAAGAGCCAAGGTTGCCTACCCCTGGCCTAGACCAATTTTTCCCATGTGCTCCAGGTACCATTATGCTAAGATACACAAACATAGGTTCTCCCCTGCAAAGTTATAATTTGTCCCTTAATCTCCATTTTTATATAGGGTTCTCAGCATCAGAAACAGTAGAAAATCTGGTCCCTTTTCTTTATTCATACAATTATCCTGCAGTTTGTACAGCCTTGATTCTTGTTGTCTCTGTTATGATAATCAACTCATTCTCTTCTTGCTTAGGACATTTCTCCGCGTTCTTTCACTTCCTTTTGAGAACTGGAGTGATTTGGTTGATGAATGGTGTTGCCATCCTAATCCTTTCAACGATAGCCTGCTTCATCCCCAAAACGATGACTGTTTTCTTGGGCACAATTACCTCCTGATTAATTCAGGAACTGAGTTACCAGGAACAGAATCCGGAAGGCTTCATTCAGAGGATGAGCGGACTACAAGTAGTGAGTCTCTCTCGGTAAATATATACAAAAAAATAAGACAAAAGATTGCATTCCTTTGAGTTGCACAATTCAGTGACTGCTATTTCCATTAAGTCAGGTACTAGAAACAGTGTGAGTTCGCCACATTCCGGCCATTATGGGACTTGTAGTCCAACAGCATTTGAAGAGTCACAAAGTCCCAATTCCTGGATCTGAACTCTTGTATAACAGTTTTTGGTGTGTATGCAAAAGATTTTGGAGAGATCATAATAGCCAACACAATAGATTTATTAGTATAGTTGTTTGGGTTCACTGATAGTGCTTAAGCTAGGAAAGCCTCATTTGCCTGAAAAACATAACAGGCTAAGCCATAAACTATGTTTTCCAAACCATAGTACTTGAGTTTGCTTATTGTGGTAAGCCAAACCCTAACAAATCATTTTGTAATGTGGTGCAATATGCAGACCCAGCCAGTGTAAGGTTAAATGACATGTGCTTATGTTACTACATGATGTTCTTGTGTGTGTGTGTGTGTGTGTATAACTGTAAACTGTCACAACATGAAAAGTATGTATGGCTTCTATAAAGAGCTTTGTGAACTGCAAGCAAATTAACCAGAACATTATAAGAGCAAAGATCTTCTTCGGAGATCTATGAATTATTTTACACTCCTCTGGTTCTGGAAAAATCCAACGATGATCTCTTCTGGGGAGCATTTAGCGGAATTTATTGGCCACTCTTGGCATCTTTTGTGACAAGGGTGGAAATTACACATCCCTCCAATGCTAAAATATTTTGAAAGCAGGATCAGCAGTCTGTTAGTATGTGGGGCCCAGGTGTGTCTCATTAAAGACTTTGGAAACCTGGTTATTCAATCCAAATTTCTCATAGCCATTTGTACAATCCGTCACTGCATATAAAATGGCTCTCCACATTTGGAGTCTGAGTGATCTGAATGCAATTCTTCCACTTTACCTAGCTGGCTTAAGTAGCTTTTTTTCTCTGGAGCTCTTAATGCTTTTGAAGATTAGTCACTTTTTTACAGCACAGCTTTCTGTCCTCCTGGAAATCTTCCCCTGAAATTGAGCTACACCTTTGTGGACTTAGAAGACCTTAAGTTCTTTGGGTTAGACAAATAAATTGTTCCTTGAAGCATGGGCAAATAATACTGAAGTTTTAAAGACTGGAGTATGATTTCTGGTCACAATTTGCTTGGACGAATCAGGAGCTACTGTTTAAAATTATTTAAATAGGATGCAGAAGAATGTATTACTCTAGGTTCATTATTACTCTTATTGATGGGAAAATGCTGTGATGTTCCTATTGCCACCCAAGTCTGTTGGAACAGGTGAGAAAGTCAGTGGCTCGTGTATAATTGCATCGCTAGATTTATAGGGAGCCTTATTCATTTTTAACAAGCTCTTACTGATTTAAATGTCAGTTAGAACAAAGGAAGTGCATGTTATTTATTTACTATTAATGTAAAAGAAAAAAGTGCCACCCAAACCACACAGTCATTGCATCTGTTTGTCACCGCTTATTCAAAGAATATTAGATGTTTCATTATATAATTAACTAGCTGTACCCGGCCACGCGTTGCTGTGGCTCAGTCTGGTAAAAGCGTGTGTTGCTTTTACGTCCAACAGATGGCGCTGTTTTTCAAAAAAAGCATGTTTTTACCTGTCACAGGTGTGACATCTATATAATATAGGTATATAAAAACGCGTGTATTCGAATGCAACGTTGTGTCAAAATTTCAAAGCAATCGGTGAAGAACTTTCGGAGATTTAAGATTTTGAACAAACGAACATTTACATTTTTATTTATATAGATTTAATATGAATGAAGGCGAATATACGTGTCCCAGGATAATGTTGCAGGACCCAATCTGGATCGGTCACTGGGATCAGAGCTTTGGGACTCATGCTGGGGCCCATCTTAGGGGACTTCTCTCTAGCATACACTCTGAGTCCAGAAGCTCAGAAGATTAAACCTCTGGTCCCAGTGACCGACCCAGATTGGATCCTAAATATATATGATTTGAATTTCCTTTTAGGTCAGTGCTATATTGGCACTATATTTTTAATTTGGCTGGTTGTAAACGATAACTGAGAGTTCCCAGTTATCTGGGAACAATAAAAATCAATAACATTTCATAAAATCATGAACAGAATCCAAACCCTTCTATCTATAATTGAAAGAGCTAAAAGCCTGTGATATCCTTCCCTTGCTTCTTCCCTATCCACAGACAAATTATTATTTGAGGGCTGTTGTTTTTCATAAAGCTTGGAGGATGCTGAAGTGTATTTTCATCACTTGGCAATTGTAACATCAGGCAAGCCCTCCACATCACTTGAAACAGGACTCCTTAATGGAGCATTTCACCCACTTTGTTAAGTCTCAGCAGGTGATAAGTCATTGAATAATGAACCCTGAAGCGGTGCTCTGGCTTGTGTGCCAACCTGTGTGCCACTGAACACCATCCTATTTCTTGTGCTTCAGACAACTTTTCTCCAAATCATCACACAACATAATTTTAGATGCTCTAAGGTCGCAAACTGTTCTAACCGCTTATCTCCAGAGGAAAATGTTTTCTTCCAGACAATATCAAGGACATTTTCAGATAGAAGTGGGGGGGAAAAAAACAGTGTGCAGCTAGCCAACAGCTGAAAGTTGTCACACAAGATACATTGATTTAATTTGTGGGGCAAAAACATACTGTTATTTCTGTTCAGGTCAGCAAAACCATGGAGTTCTTGGTGCCTGACTTTTTTTTTTTATTATCATTACATGAAGTTCTAATCAGAAGAAAATATATTGGACAACAGAGTGGTAACATCAGAATTGTGTGCGAAATGCAACTTAACCTCTGAATGTTGATTTTGTAAGAAAAAGTTTTAGACTGTATGCTACTTATATTCATCGTGAATTAATTAATGGACCATAAGAATTAAACAAAAGCAACTAAGCCAAAAACAATTAGCCACAGTGGCTTTGTTAAAAACAAAAAGAAAAACCGTCCATGTTCAGAAGCTTCTGCATATTGTGCAGTAAGATGATAAGAACAGGAGAAGCCCCAGAAGGGGAGATTTCATGGTCCATAGAGCTAAGAAGGAGGTATAACAGTAGAGGGAAGGAACTTGGTGCCTCAAACAATACAGCCAATGGCAAAGAACTGTGGAAATTCTGGAGGCACTGATTGAGTTGACTTGGTCCTTCAGAGTTTAAGAAACCTTTGTCAGCTCTGCTTGGAGATAACCACAGATTACATTTCTAGTTTGTGGATCAGGAGTCCATCCAGTCACTGATATTCTAGTGGCCCCACAGTTGGACTGTTGTAGAGTTGTACATGAGGCTTCCTAATATTCTTCCAGAGATCTATATAGCTCCCATCCTCATGATGCTCCAGAAGTCTTTAAAAACCTGCTGTTCTCCTGGGCCTTGGGGAAAGATATTTGTTGAGTTTCTTGGCGATGTTTCTTATTAGAGGGAGTGTAGCTGTCTGGTGTTTCTGATTTTCTTTTTATTATTTTTCTTTAATTCTTTTATTTTTAGTGTCATTTATATTTAGCGTGACTAAGAGTCATTTTGGAACTGGGCAGCCTCTAAATCTAATAAAGAAATACATTAAATAAATAAATCAATAAATACTCGTTTTAAAACCATATTCTTGGATACAGTTGAAAACAAGGCAGACTTAGTTCCAATCCAGATGGTTTCTTTTATAATATTAAATTACCTAGCATAGTTTTCAGCAAAAATATAATCAAGATTCGTCCTCTTGCACACTGTATACAAATTCCTCTTGTTATTTGCAGGAATTCTCTTCCAGCTGAGCAACCTGAGATAATGAAATCACAGATAATGAGACTGTGAAAAAAAAACCCACATCCACATTATAATTTCTGTAGTATTCCAAAAAATGTGGCAAAAACTAAATATGCAAAGCTGTATGTATTATAGACACTAAATTCTAGCACATATTTTAAACTCTGGATACATCAATAAACCAGAAAATGAGGCCATAGATAAAGAGTGCCAGATATATGGATTAGAATAATTCCTCTTTCATGCCATAAAATTAGGGTTCGTTTTAACCCAGAATTTAGTATTAGGTTTTCTGCTGGGAATTTATGTTCAATTTAAGTTGCACAGATTCGAAATTATGTAGATTTTTGGCTTTGGACTGCTTGTAAAATTTGGAAAAAGGCGTATGTTCAAGTCCATGTTTGGTCCTTCTGAGGAATCTTAACTGCGTAACCTTTTATTAGTCTAGGCAATGAAAACAGTTGTCTTCTAAGTGTGTTGGACTACAGTCAAGCTGGTGGGGATTATGGAAATTCTGATCTAACAGGTCTGAAGGGCACCAATGTAGATTTACCTCTCTGTTTAGTCCTGATGTTCACTGGGTAACTTTGGACTAAACTGTCTGTTTCTTTCTTTAGCACATACAGTAGTGCATCTTT